TCCCCTGGAGCTAAATCCTGACAGACTATGGCACGAAATAAAACTACAGCCCAAAAAGTTTTCAGCTTAATCCTTTGTCACACAATGTAAGCAGTCTTTTATGGCTGTGGGGCGGCTGTGGCTCAGAGGCAGAGCGGGTCGTCCCCCAATCAGAAGGTTGTTGGTTCAAATTCCTGGCTCCTCCTGCCACTGCCAAAAGTAATCCTTGAGCAACGATTGGAACCCCCAAATTGCTTCCCGATGCATGAAGTGAGAGTTATTTCTGTCAATGGATTGCCATCACTTGAGTGAATGTGTGTGAAAGGGTGAATGTGGCACGTAGTGTAAAAGCGCTTTGAGTGGTTGGAAGACTAGAAAGGCGCTATACAAGTACAGGTCCATTTACCATTTACCATATGGCCAGGAAAACCACAGTGTGTTAAGACATTAATATATGTCAATTACAAGGACTGACATATACTTTCACTTTTATTGGATAAATTCCATTTGTTGTAATTATATAGCAGATTTTAAAATATACCTGGTAGATGTGACATGTTCTGAGCCCACCAATTAAATGATGACACATACTGATTCTTTAATGTTAAACAAATCTTGAATAGTAGACTTATTCAAGTCAAATGCAAGACAAATGCTGAAGGATAAAAGATTAGACCTAACTTTAGTCCTGGAGCATCACTTATTTTTCACACCAAAAGGCTGTGTGCAGGTAAATGTACATATGAACAGTATTTTCAGATGTATAGCCTATATATATTCTTTCAACTTTAATTAATGTATACTTATTGTTTTTTTTTAATTTTGTGCAAAGAACTCATATAAAATATATACATTTCCAGTGATAATTACCAGGGGAGTGTTGTTTTGGTCATTTGAACCCTGGATTTGATGCTTTCTGAGTAATTGAATTTGGCCCTTCAACAACTAGCATGGGAGATTATCGCAGTTTAACATTGAGGTGGCAATTTGTTCACACATTCCTGAGTTCTGGGACAGTAAAGGATAATACTGTTTAGGTGAATGATTCATGTCCTTTGCTTCTTAGTTCGAAGTTCTTAAAATTCCCGCTGTTGACTTGTTGCTGTGTAAGTTAGAAAACAAGGCTTAAAAGTTTTTATGTGTCATATAATGCCTCTTTAACATGCGTATGTTTTACAATGACCAGGTCAAAGGGTTGTATAGATTCTTAAAAATTGCCATTACAACATCAATATCCATACCAATAAATCACAAGTCACATTTTTCCCTCTGCTTCTCTCCAAAGTGTAAACAAGAGACAAAGCCTAGGAAATTTCTAGCAAAAGACATGCATGCAGTCATTGTGTTCATTTGTCAAGACACAACAGGATCCTGAGGAGGCGGGGGAGCTGCCATCAAACTAACACCCATTCTCTCTCTTACCATGTCATACACATGGAGGCCAAAGGTCAGGTCCCAACTCAGACTTAATGTATTCTCTAAAACCATTAAAACAATATTTTCCAGACTTTAACCATTACCATCATGAATATTTAGGCCATGTTGGTCAGTTTTTTAATTGTACTACTACCATTTGGACTTGCAGAAGCTGGACATTTCAGCCCTATTCATTACTGTTAGCTATTTATTTCTATTAAGTGTTTTATTGATTACTGTCACTGTAGCTATATATTCAATTTATTTACTTTTGGGTAATTATTTCAACCATTTAACCTACCTTTGGCTGGTAATTTAGGTGTTTTTCCATTTATTTCTATTTAAGCTATTTATCTATTACTGTTAATGTAACTAAATCTAACAAATCTATTACTTTTGGATAATTGTTTCAACCATTTATTCATTACTTAACTATTCAGTTACATTACTTGAGTCGTTGAACACAATAAGCTATATCGTGGTAACCGCGGATGTTTCCCTTTCCTCTGATTTCAACCTTTGTTGAAATAAAACAATTAATGGTAATGAAATCCCAATACCTGCTGCTTCAACATCTATGTGTTGCATAGCTCCACTAAAAGAGAAAGTGAACTACATTTGGAGACACAGACTCAAAGTAACAGACAGTAAATGATAACATAAAACAGAGACACAGCAAGAAACAAAAACTTGATAAAGAATTAGTGGGATATACAAGGTCTGAGAAAAGTGGTTTCCATTGTGAAAACAACTGATATGAATTAACCTAACAAAATAATCTTAGGTTAAAGGCGACCGGCAGCATCTGTAGATAAAAACGGCTCATTCTAAGGCAACAAAAACACAACAATTCCTAAATTTACATGAATATACAATAATGAAAACATACCAATAAATATTATATTCTATTCCTGCTAATAGATCCTTCTAAATGTTACACACTGGACCTTTAACAGAACGTGCAAAGCATACCTAGCAATGATCAATAACATAGATCAATATATTTCTTATCATGCAGATTTGATGAATTTCGATGTAACCTTGCCTCTTTTTCACACCTTCAATGAGTCTTGGCTGGCTTTCAGTTCCACACATTCCTCCTGTCTGCCTATATACCCTGAGGTGTACACTGACTTGTTATCAAAGATTTGGTGTGGCATGGGTTTAGCACTCATTCCAATACAACATCTTTAATTGAGAAAATCTTGGCACATTGAGGTCAGAATGATTGAATGACTTTACAAAGATAAAAAAGAAATCTGATCTGTACTATCAGCTATTTCAATTAAGTTTAATGCACACAGTCATGTATTTTGTGTCTGTGGCTTTTTGATTGCTGTTGTTTCTCCTGTCATTCATATCTGTTGTAAAGAATCGTTTATCTCCATGCATAGCAGTGTTGCCACTTCGGCGAATAAATATCAGTTCACACGTAAAACACTTTTCAGTGTTTTGACATGTTGCCCTTGAGCCACAACAGCAGCCTTTCTTCTGAAGTTTAATGTGTTTAATTGGCTAATGTTGAGCTCAGCCATGCCTCATTTGTGTCACGAAACAGGCTTTCTTTAATCTGGATGACACATTAACCACCTATCTGTATATGTGTTTTGGAGCACATTCACCTCAAGCAACCAGCTCAGAATTCATATCGAATGACTCAACAGAACTTAGTGGCTCTGGTTACCTTTGGGCTTATCAAGTTGGCCTTAAACCCCTTATTGGGCTGTGGCTGTACCATCCCTAATTCTTTGTTTTGTTGAGGTCACTTGTGAATCTTCAGTTCATATATTTATCAAGAACTTAACTTTAATTCTGACTATACTGTGAGAATGAATTGTTGTGAAACTGCCTGAGAAGGGATGTCAGATGTCAGAGGTCAAACATTTGTAATTTTAGAAGAACATGGGGAGCCTGACCTGAAAGGTTCAGGGGCCCTAGATCTTAACAGGGGTCTGAAACATGCCTGGATATTACCTTTGTTGTCAGGGGGATGGATGAGATGAATATACACTTGGTGTGTGCGCATTTTTGTGCTTTGATAGATGTGTAAAAAGACTTGCATTCCTGTAACTTAATATTGTGATGGGTCAAGTGTCAAAACTTCAGACATAAAGATGAGCACAATTAGGTTATTATACAATACTGACCATATAGCTGGACAAATATTTTAAATGCCAATTATGTGGTAGTTAAAACGAGTTGCTGTTCTTAATGTTGTACAGTTTGACTTTTAGATTGAAATAATAAAATGGAAGATTGCAGACTTACTTACATCCTCGTTGGTGCTTTAATTATTCCTCTACCAAAAGAGCAGTAAATAAAACAGATTTTAAAAGTTTATAAAATGACACTGAAATAACAAACAAATGTATGTTAGGGTCAAAGGGGCTGTTTTGCTTGCACAAAATAAATAGTTTCCATTCTCCTCTATGCATTAAATGCCATCCTGATAGGGGCACGTATTCCCATTGCTTCTGAGTGTAAGCTAATGTCCAGATTTCTGGTATGCATTTTCAAGGTAATTAGTGGAACATTTAGAAAAAAAATTCTTAAGAACTCAACTCTGTGTCCTTAATTCATACCATACTGCAGGACATGTAACTCTAATTAGTTACATGAATGAAGGATTGAACTAGTGTGAAATTGCTTGAAAAGGTATGCCAGATGTCAGAAGTGAAATGTTTGTAATGTTAGAGGAACATGGGGGGGTCTGACCCTGAAAAATTCAGGGACCCTGGAACTCAACAGGAGCCTGACACATTCCTGGGATCTTACTGAAGATATTACCTTTGTTGTTAGAAGGTAGTTTTTCAATTCTGATTTTGCTTTTATGGGAAATGAGATGAATATAGTGTGTGTGCTGTGTAAAACAGATTTGCATGCATGTAACTTAATATTGTGATGGGTTATTATGGATGTAGTATATAGTTCTTGGTTGCCCATAGTTTGCATGCAGGGTGTAGACAAGATCCATAATATAATTATAGTTGAAAAACACATAACAAAGTACCAGGTTTTTGTGTAAATGGTGACAGAAATATATTTATTCTTGACCAACAGTCTGTTACTGTACAAATGGCTATCCTATGTTGTAGGTGTACTGATACCTCTGCAATCAACACTCCTACTCCCAGAGTAATAATCAAAAATCACCAGACTGCTGTGCATCAGTGTGAGTTTATATAAACATAAGAAAAAGTATTTGACCATAGAGTACTATATAAAATAATATTTGTTGTAAGGCACTTACCAGAATTTTAAGAGGTACGTTATATAAACACATATTTTACACTATAGAGGGTGCATGATATTTAGATACAAATACCTCAGTACTACACAGACGTCATCACTGTGTAAATCGTTGCTGTTCAAAGTACAAAATAGGGTAAATACAAAAGAACATAAGGCTATTTTCATTAATATTTTGCTCAAGTTACAAAAACAGGAGGACAAGTTATAAAAAATACACATTTGAATGCAACATGTCAGATATAGTGATCAACAACAAGATGTGTGTAAGTCCATATTCTGGAGAACAAATAAAATCAGTCTCTACTAAATGAGACAATTTCACT